AAATAAAAGGCAAAATGAAAATGCCACACTTGTCTATTTGTGACAGGAGTGAAAAACATGACATTTTCATTTTGAAATTCAATGACTGTTCTGTTCTTGCAAGTAATCTTTCACCTAAAAGTGATGTTGGAAAATATCTGGGACAAAACTAAATATTGATGACTAATTGTCTTGGTGTCATACAAGGTTCCTTCTTGATGCTTACTTTTAAATAAAACAAAACACAGATACTTAAATTATGTAATGTTTCTTATTAGCTTAGAAAGGTGTGGTGAATACAAGCATACATTATATTATACATGCAAGTTTATATAAGTAAGATTATTTTAAAGTAATTATGAATAATACATAGATGTTTGTAGAGAACATGGTATATGTTCACAAAAGGGTCATTTCACCAAGAAGATAAAACAATTACAAACTGAATATTATCCTTTATTTCAACAAATATTCTTTAATTTTTTAAATTCACTTTTATCCATGTGCATCTGCTATGGGGGTTGTGCATGTGAGGACAGAAGAGGGTTTGTATCTCCTGTAGCCTACATTACAGGTAGCTGTGAGCTACCTGATGTGGGTACTAGGACCCAAACTCACGTCCTCTGCAAGAGCATCAGTTGCTATTAACTGATTAGCTATCTCTCTAACTCTTCTACAAATAATCTGAATCCTGGCATTTACCACCACTGAACTGATTCTATTCAACATCCTCTTGGAAATGACATTTATCTCAGACCTAACATTACCACAACAGTAAACAAAACAGAGTGATTAAATGCAGGCCTTAGTTCATGTTTTATATATTGAATGGCTCATTGTCTCAATTGTTAGCACTAATTTATGTCTAAAAGCACATAAGCCTGTTGAACTTCTTAATAACATGCATAAGAATCCCAAATTATATGAATCACACATCAACATATTTCAACGCACACTTTTCAATATAGAAAAGAGCATATACAGAGAGAACTTATGATCCTAGCAATACTAAGATGGAAGACAGAGATGGGTGAATCCATGGCAGCTTTTCTTCAATTAGTCTAGGCTACTGGTGAGATACCAGGCCATGGGGAGAATCTAAATCAAATGAAAGGAGAAAAATATGTAAGGAATGACATCCTAGGCTGTTCTCTGACCTCCTCACACATATGCTTGCACCCTACACACTTACATCCCACTAACAAAAATCCATCGTCAATACAATTTAAGAAATGAAAGTTGTTATGTATATGTTAACTCAATAGGATGGATGTTTGTACACTGGAAAATACAAAACATTGCTGGAATAAGTTAGCGGAGACATAAATAAATGCAATGGCCTCCCAGGTACAGAAGTAGGAAAACAACGTTCCAACAGTATTAATAATACCCATTGGGATTCACAGAGCCAAGTGAGTTGGGGCAAGAATGATGAAACTCTTAGGAATAAGGAAAAAAACGTAAAGAAGGAGTGAGAGTGAGAGGAAGAGGAAAGAAAGGAGAATTTAAGAGGAGAGAATAGGGACAAGAAAGGGAAGAATTTGGGAGAGGAGAGTGATCAGAAAGCCTAGATATTATATTCTGTTTTAGGCCTGATTCTCATCCAACTCAATAAATCAATCAGAGATATTAATAGTTTTTTCCTACATGTAAAGAGTACAGTCATTTTACTGGTGATCATGACTAAGAGCTTGTTGTTGACCATCAAAACCTCTAATCAAATTATCGGATTAACATGCAAATATGTTGGCATGTAGTAGGATAGCTCTTAAAAGCAAATTTTTTTTAAAAAAAAAAAAAACCTTTAACCAAAAGAAATTGTGGATTGAGTGTTAGTATTTATATACCTTATCATCATTAGCATAGAAGCCAATTAGGACATATTTCTATTGGCTTTAGAAAATTTAGCCTTGTAGTTATGAAATGATTCCTTAAAGTTAGGCAGTTTCTAATAGTTATAAATGTTATGACCTGGAGAAAATCAAATTAAGTATCAGTTAGGGTTCTGTAGAGGAACAGAAATTATAAAATGAATATATAGTAAGAGATAATTTATTAGATTGACCATACTATACAGCGAGTAGTAATCCACAAATGCCTATCTCATACCAGAGAGGCTGAAAACCTAGTAGTTGTGCAATCCATGAGGCTGTATCCCTCAGCAGTCCCAATGGGCTACTGAAAACCTGGAATATTTCTGGAGAGCCACTGGTCTTCAGTCCACATTGGGAGCTTGAGGAAGCTGGTCCTCATATCAATGAAGGAATTAACAGTGTTTCTCAAACCTCCTTTGGGGGTTGCATATCAGATATCCTGCATATAAGATATTTACATTATGATCCATAACAATAGCAAAATAACAGTTATGGAGTAGTGACCATACTATTTTGGATGGGGATCACCACAGCATGAGGCAATCTATTTAATGGTTACAGCATTAGGAAGGTTGAGGATCACTGGTATAGGTAAACTAGTAAGCAAGAATGAAGGCCAAGTGAACAAAAATCATTCCTTCTTCCATATCTTTTTATCAGGGTTACTATTGGAAGGTATCACCTACTCATAATACGGTGGGCCTTCCCACAATTAATGTAGTCAAGACAATTAGACACAGACATGTTCACAGGTCCTCCTTAATACTTCATTGAGACTTTCTTCCTAAGTAATTCTAGGTTATGCCAAGTTGGCTGTTAAAAATTAACCACCTCAGTGAACTGCTTTTATGCCTCAGTCTTCCTTATCTGCAAAATGCAGGACAGACTAATACCTACTCATTCCGGGACGACATACAGTGCTCATGAGCACACAGTGAGCTTTCAGTGTTTTAGTTCTTACTACAGATAGATGTCAATCTCTTTCTTTTACAATAACTCATTTTACTCAAGTTTGTATCCATAAATGTGAATTCACTTTAAATGAAATGCTCAGGACTGAAGTGTTCAGATGCTAATGAAAAGAAATGTAAAGTATTTACTAGGGTAGTTTTTAAAAAGCCTCTTGTGGGAATTAAGGCAAGCAATGTGGGTGGGCATGTTCATGTATATAGGTACACATGCATGTATGTTTGCATGTTAAGGACAGAGGAAAAGCTCAGATGTTCCTCAAGTGCCATCTACTTTTGTTTTGGTAGGGTCTCTTACTGGCACACAACTCAAAATATATGTTAGAGATAATTGGTCAGGGATTCCCGGGAGTCGGCATATCTCCGTTTCCTCGGTGCTAGGGTTACAAGCATGTGCCAATACAACCGTCTTTTCAAAAACTGTGGTTTCTGGGGATCAAACTTGAGTCCTTTGACTTAAAAGAAACACTTTGTTATCTCCCCAGTCCTTTAAACTTGATGATGTCAATGTGCTTAGGATTTACTAGCTTAAAGGTATTTTAGGTTCCAGAAACATGCCAACACTATCAGTTAGCAGGGAAGACAAAAAAGTTTCTAATATGACACAACATTTTGAATGTTTCCAAGCCAATTGGCTAGACTGGACAAATAGATAACGTGTAATGCATTGACAACAAAGAGGTAAAGTTTCAAATTTCCTTTTTAAAATCTTGTGACAGTGTAAATTGAGTTTGATGAACATTTTGAAATGGCTTTACTCTTTCTTTAACGTTCCTATCCTCTTATCATTTATTTTCTATTTTGCTTTATACAAATTCATAAAATTTATCCAATAAGCTGATCTAAAATGATGTATTTCTTTGTGGAGATAGGAAAAAAAGTAAACATACAAAATCTCATGAGTTGCCTCCATGTTGTTTAATTTTTTTACTAGCAGAAAATAGATTTGTGATAGAACTCTATAACCAGGAAAAAGAAAGACTCACTTTTTTTCCTAGCACCCTTTGAGGGAGGCCCAGTGCCAAACCCCTTCCTTCAGAGATTATGGGCAGTTTGCATACATAGTCAAACAGTGTGTTATTTGACTCAACTGAGGAGACTCTGTCACATGAAGAGGCATGCATTTCTGTTGAGGAGAACGATGAGCAAGTAGATGGGTTCCAACAGAGTTTTCCTATCTCAAAAAGCATTGGGGGAAGTGTCTATGGAGACACTAAACATATTCCACAGGGAGGGGGGAAACAAAACAAAACAAAAAAATAAAGCAGGAGATCATCAAACAGTGTGTTTCCTGTTGACAAAAGGCAAGAAGATTGATGTCAGTCTAGTCCTGCATCCCTGGAGAGATAAGTACATTCTTATTTTGATCAAAGTACACTGATGTGGCAATCCTTGCTTTACACCTAATTTACCCTGGCAACAGTATAGATATTAAGTGACGTTTCTACCAGTGTTTATATGTAACTATGAGTTGGTTTAGTTTGTTTTATAATTTTGTACACAGGTTGTGTGTGTGTGTGTGTGTGTTTATCCAAGCATCATAGTATATATAGAAGCAAAGGAGCAAAGGAGTAAATTCAGAGGCATTATAAAAATCAAAGTAACACACTTATTTAAAGAGAGATGACCAAGATCCATCTATAACCTTAAATTCAGCCCTGTGTTGACCCAATGGTTCAGATTTCCTCATCATCAGCAAGCAATGTCTAAAATCTTGATGATCTAAGAATTAAAGAAAAGCAGTCAACCAAATGACCAGTTGCAAAAACTTAAGCTGATGAGTTCTGTTAAATGGTCTGAGCTTATATTTTCCAAACTCAAAACTCTTTGGAGGTATGTTGTCATTGCTTAATTGTCATTATTCAAAATACTAGTGGGGAGTTATCATGCACTTCTGGGTTAATTTTTTCTTTGCAGTCTCATCACCATTTTCATTTTGTTTACATCTCTAACCACAGATGTTGATGGAGCTGTAATGTTGCTTCAATATCTATTGCAATATTTTTATTGCATTCTGCAGGTCCTCCAGTAAACGTTACTTGCAATATTTTTATCAACAGTTTTGGATCTGTCACAGAAACCACCATGGTAAGTTCTACAGTGCCACTGGCAAGAGAAAAACGTGACTCAATCATGCCATGAACACAACCTGTCAAATTTTTTATTGTTCAAATTACAGGGCCTCCTGTAAATGTTACCTGCAACATATTTATCAACAGCTTTGGGTCAATAGCAGAAACTACAATGGTGAGTGGGACTGAGCATTGAAGCCATCGTGTGAAGGAATGGGATATGGGATCACAGAACTATTGCATATTTATTTGACATTTACTGGGTGCCAATCTCTAATGTCAACATCCTCTAAAAACTGACATTTCTACATCTTCATTTCAAATAGTCATTTATCAAGGAGCTATAACTTAAAGTCTAATGATCTTTAACCTATTACCCCAGAGCAATTTTGTAAACATATAATTTTTGTTAGGTTTGGTAGAATGAGCAGCAATAAATATGGTGTGTATTTAGGAGTATTAAAATATGTACATCTCCAATGTCTCATAAGTATATATTTTTTAAAGATTGACACATAATTGTCATTGTTAGTCTTTTACTTATTACAAAAGCTGGGATGACATCAAGCCTGTCTATTGCTTATTTACGATATCATAAAAAGGAGAGATTCAGAAGAGCATGAGTATACACACCCATGTTCATATGTGTACACATAATTTTCTTAGCAATAGTTAATATCAAGTTAACAAAAATTACATAAAATATTAACAGATTTGAAAAACATAAACATAATAAAATACTCATTAAAGATAAGTAGTGCAAAAATCTTCCACATATTTGAAGTAGGTGCAGGCACTGTATAATATGCTAAGACAGCTGATCAATAAAATGTTAAGTGATCCAGACCACTAGATCATAGCCAAATCCCACGTAGCCCTAGATTACAGCATGGAGATTACATCTAGGGTGAAATTCTTCCTTGGAATCTGCTTGTTTTTTTCACAGTTCTTAGTTGCTTGCTCCTAATTTACATAGTTATTAAATCATATAGCCACATTATTGGATGAGACCAAAATGAAATTTTAGTTGAATTTGACAAAATATTATAGTAACAGAATCCTACAAAATCTCAAGACTCGAAAAATGAACATACGATGTCATTGAGAAATAAAAAAGTTTTTAGTGGATTTTCTCTTCTAGGCTTCTAAGGTCATGTTTAATGAATTACTGTACTTTGTGATGTTTTTGATACTAAGAAGAATTAATTTACCTTTACTAGTCAGCTTTATTGGCAAAGCATAAAATGTAATGTAAATCTATTACCCATTTTGACACCACTCTGAAACAGCATTGTCCAGAAGTAAGATTTTAGCAAGATGTGTAGTACATTAAGAATTTTACCTAAATAAGCTACTTTTGATAGGGTTATAAGAAACACAAAACAAAACATGAACAGAAAAGCACAACACTAGGCTTGACACACAGTTTCTGTCACTTTTCTTTTAAAAGAGGGACACTGTTTCCAGTAGCCCACTGTCACCAGCTTTACACGATGGCATTCAATGACTGTATTTGCACGACCTAATGCTGATTGCATCAATTAAACTCCTAAGTTGCCTTGATTAGACCTCCCCATTGCATTTTACTCTCAATCAAAAATGTAAATATGCACCTTTTCCATGTTCATTAATACAAGACCCTAAACATTTAAGGAGATGAAAACGGAAGCTATGGATACTCAATTTTCTTTAGTCTTTAAGATTTACAGAGCTGTTTAGTAAATGGGCTGCATAGGTGCTTCCTGGTCACTTACTGTCTTTTGTCATGTTTCTGATGGGGAAACAAAGGAAACTGTTGTTCAAAGGTAACGTCAGCAGCCTGGTTATCTGCTGTGTAAGGCAGATCAAATTGCATGTTTAGAAGAGTGTTGCATAGCCTGCTTCTTTTATTCACTTAGTAGCTTTTGATATAACGACAAGCTTCTTTCTGTTTTGAAAAACACACGTACATCTTGTTTTCTTATGGCTTTGATATGAACCTAAAAAATTTAGAGAAAAAGTCATCATGTTTATGTTCAAGAAGAAAATCTCATGTCACCTAGGATAGGAATTGGCAAATGTTTCCTATAAAGAGACAGACAGTAAATACTTTCGACCTTGGGAACCAGGTGATTTCTCTTATGCCTACTCAACTCTGCCCTTTGGGCATGAAAACAGCCATACTAATAGTGATCAAATGGATGTGAGTGCATTCCAATAAAATTTTACTTGTAAAAATAGACTGAGTCAAACATGCCAACCAAGGATCTAAGGCATTAGCAGTTACATAGGTGATATATTGATAATAGTGTGAATGATTTTGTAAAAAATGTCCTGGCTTCCAAGAGGGCTGAAGATTTGCCTGATTGTCCACCTGATTCAACTTGTCTTAATTGGTTCAGGCTACAAAGTACCACAAACTGGATGGTTTACAGACAGCAGAATTGATTCTCCTTATTCTTGAGGCTGGAAGCTCGAGAATAAGGTGCCAACAGCACATCAGTGTCGGTGAGGGAACTCCTGAGGTTAGAGACTGGTAATTTTTTATATCTTCCCATTCTAGAAAGTTCTCTTCCTATTCCCTCATAATCTAATACTATCATGCTGGGAATTAGAATTTTAAAACTGAAATTTAAGAGGTTATCAATGTTTAGCCTAAAACATGCTTCACATGTTGTCTGTCATAGCCCAAACTTACTTTTTTCAAAACTCCAGCTCAGTCGATAAATTTGCTGGTATTTCCCCAAATTTTGACTCATAAAATTTGCTTTGAGCAATTTAATTTTTGAAATGAAATAGAACTTCAACTAATTTTAGTTGTGATCAGAGACTTTAAATTCTATGCCTATCAATAAAGTAATGGAGGACACCAATTAGTGTTGTTTCCTGAGGATGAAAGTTTTGATTTATCTGAAATTTCTGGAACTATTTTTTTTTTCAAAGAATGCTTCCAAACTGAGTTTCTGATCATATTTGTTGTCCTCTGTTTCTTTACACATCATTTTCCTACAGAAGCTGAAGTAGCATTGAAGGATAATTTGGTTGGTTATTTATAAAGAAGAGGTGATGATTGTTTGTTTCTGTCAACTTTCTTATGGAACTATACGACCAGCCCATGGTTAATGAAATCACACTAATTTGTTGTTAATGCTGCATGTTAGCAAAGTATTGGCTTACTTACAGAATCAGTACAAATGCTCCCTTCTTTGATTCAAGTATTGGAGTTATTCACTCACAGAACAGCATATTGTTTCTTTAAGGAATATTTTCATGGATCATCATAAAGATATGCTACACAATAATATATGTATTTGTTCATTAAGAGGCACATGGATTTATTGCTGTTTGACCCTTTATTATGGTTCTTCATCAGATATAGTTTTGTATTGTCTTGAAGATGTAAGAGACTAGGAAGGGATATATACTGAGACGGGTTATATTCTGTTTTAGAAATGTCAGTTTATCCTTTCCTTATTTCGTTCTCCCTTTTCTTTAGCTGACAATGGTAATTGAATCATCAGGATAAGGAATATATTTAACACACCTTATTTCTTAAGGTTGAGGCAAAAATAGAAAATATTAGCAAGATAAGTAACAGACAAGAGTATTTCATCCAGGTGTATGTCACTCTCCCAAAGACTGGGTCATCAGAAAATGGAAATGGGAAGCTTTCTTCCCATCTTCAAATGGCTGACTGGAGAGATGGTAGTGAATTCTGCATGATTTGGGCCTGAAGCACCTATATACTACCCATGACCCAACAGTTGATTCTGAGTCTTGACACATTTGAGAGATGTGAGAGATAACTAAATATACATAATGTATTTTTTCAGTTCCTACTGTACTATAAGGAGTTCTCTTTCCACTAATCTGAAATTGCATTCCTGAGAAACTCAGAGAAGACAGGCTAACATGGATGCCCGTTGTGAAAGAGCATAGCATTTTCCTTTAATTCAGTCACTGAAAGAACACATCATAAGAAGATGCTAACTGACAAAGAGATAACACATTATTATGTTTCTGATTTCTAACATCTTAAAGAATAATCAATACATTGCCATAAACTTGATGTTCTGTTAAGCTGATACATAAGATGAACTTGCTTTCTAAATTAACAGTGAAATCTTTATGACCACATTGATCACAAAGTATCTACCTACCATGATAATTTAAAATGCAAGTTGTCTCATTAAAACTAATACAGTTTTGAGACTATGAAAATGTTTTTGGAGTGTAGGCAGGTTTAAAAACCAAAGTGTGATATAAGCATTATGGAGAATCAAGGAGTTGTGTTGTCTAATTATATATTTATAATTAGATTAAAATTTCACACATACTAAGGAATAAGAGGTAATGATTAAGTTTGATATGCATATTTATGAGACAAAGTGGTCATCTTTATGTACATCTTTATGCAGAGCTCCATATAGTAGTGCAAATAATTCAGCTTAATGTAACAATGTCCATAGAGTAAGGCTTGCTTTAGAAGGGATCAGAAAAAAACTTGAAAAATCCAAACTTTGACATAAAAGACTATTATGGAATGTAGGGACTCATATTACCAGTGTTAAGACCATAATAAAGATTATGCAGTCTATACATGTATTTTATTTCAAATGAAATATATCCACATATATAATATAAATGTTTCTATTGTCTTATCCAATGCTCAGAGAGTCAATAATACAGAGAAAAAAATTAGTACAAGGGAATCTGTCATTTTTTTGAAGTAGAATTTGTCCTTAAAGAGTGCAGGCAATGTAAAAGAGAATATAGTCTGAATTTTAACATGTTTCTCAATATTTACTTTCCCTTTAATATTTTATTGAGCCTAGAAGCAGTAGAAAAGTCCAAGGAAGACTACAGAATTATATAACTACTCTATTATGATCGGGGTTATTATTAGATTATGAATTTATTTGTAAATAAGCAGAAATCATACATTGATAAATTATATGTGCCAAGTAATTATCCTCATTGAAATTATAGTGAATGAAGCATTACATAGGTATAGCTGCAAAACCTTTTCTTTGTTTATCTAATTTCTCCTTGGATGACCCTTTTTAAGATACCTTTTAGTACTTTAAAATGTTTTAAATACTTTAAGGGCTTTTCTCTATTTTAGTATAGTGTATATCATCATAAAAAAAATCATGGATAAATCCTAATGACTACATGTCCAAAGGGATATCTACTTATAATTAAAAAGGTCTCATATATATTTTATTTCATATGTAATCATTGGATACAAAGATATTCCCTTTATGGCTACTGGTGTTTATGAACAGTGAAATTTTTATTTTAAATGAACTTTAGACACTTATTTGTCGAAGTGAGGTAAAATTATCTTGCTTCTTTTCTAAAAATTCAAATATTACAAATAAATGCTTCACAATTTTCTTGATATAAAATTCAAAATAGGAAACCAAAAATACTAGGGAACACTTATGGGAATTTTATTTGGAAAATAAGTTGAGATATTTTCTTAAAAGTCATCAATTTAATATAGCATGTAACCAATTTAATATCCCCTAGGTAGGTCAATAGACAAGTTTAAATTGTCTCAGGTATACAGGAGGATAACAAGGATACTATATTTGTGATTTTGTTGTTCAGTGATTTCTAGCTGGATTCTCATGACCTTTTGTACCCTAAAATATGTCCTAGTGAAGGGGCAGCTGTGCTCTGAATGGTCTGATATTTAACATTTTGACTTTTATGTTCAGAGGCACCCACTTCCTGGAATTGGAGTATCTCTAGACTTTGTAGGGCAGGAGAGCTTCTTTCCTTTTTCCATTTGAAACAGCATATACACTCTCCACTCCTGACAAGAATTCTGTTAAGAATGCATTCTCACTCTAGGAGACTAGAGGGTAAGGTGCACCTTAAACTGGAGAGGCCTCATTTTCTTCCTTGGGAAATCTTAAGAGCATGCCACATATACCAACACAAACATGAACATGGTGTTGTTGCATTCTTAATTGGCATTTCTTCACTTTTCACAAATTAGGCTTTCTTGCTCACTATTCACACAGATCTCTAATGGTTCAGTAACACCCATTCCCAAAGAGACCCTGAACTGCTAATAATCTCTTTCTGACCATAGTTCTCTGGTCTCTTTGGACAACTCCCAAAATGAACAATGAGAAAGTCGGGGTCCTGCTGTTTACTTTATTGCACACTGGGAAGGCCAGTGAGCTAACAGATTGATGTACTTATTGAGCTAAGCCCCCAAATGGCATCAATTCTGATTTGAAGATTTGCTATGCAAAACTTCCAAATAACTTTTCAAGTTAGAATACTCATGATAATACAATGTAAAGCCTTAGTTACTTTTAATAATGCCAACTTTCCAAAATCCATGGTTGATTGTTTATTTGCAATAGTTAGGAACTATTTGAGTTTTAACCTGTTCCAGCCTATGTTAGGTATATTTCCCAAGAACTATGACATTCAAAATGTTCTATGCGATTGGTTACCAGTAGTCTTCAGTTTTAAAAATTCCATAGAAAATTTAATATGTTAGTGTATCCTCATCTCTAAAATGTTTGTTTGCTTTTGATCATGAGAGAATTAATCAAAACAAGCCATCCTTTAGCAGTTTCCATGGTACTTGGCAGATTGAACAATCATGTATATTTGCTTACTAATAAGGGTATTGTGAAATTTGGGAAACTAAAGTAAAAAGTTTTCAAGCAAATCAAGACAGAAAAATAATGATCAAAGCCATCTAGATGGCAAGGATGTGGAGATGAAGCCAACAGGGCTTAAATAGAAGGTAAGAGAAGAACAAATGAAGATGTCTCTAATTTTTAATAACCACAAGTGACAGGAATGATTAGCTGTGAAACTACAGTTGTAATAGACTAGAGACTTCTGATGACTCCTCTGAATCTAGATCAAGTTAGTCATTGCTTCCAGGAACCTAAAAGTCTTTAAATACAAGCCCCCAAGAAAATAGTTAGTTGCAAGCAGATTCATTAGCACAGAAGGAAATACCTGGATCAAGTGAGAAAGGCAAGGCTTTACCTGAGCCTCCCACAAGGGTGAAAACCTTTGTCTGAAAGTTTTCATATGGGAAAAACATGAACAATTTCTGTTTCAGTGAAGCATCAAGCTGTCTGCTGTAGACATAACACATTGGTGGAATTCAGTGAAATATCTAAGAGCTTCAATAGTAATTAGTTGTGAAGGAACCATTTTGTCAACATGAAGTATCTTAATGTTTTTACGATTTTAAGAATAATGGTCTATCATAATATGGTTTTATAAGATTTTCACTCCCAAATTACAGAGTGAGTTTTCTTCTATACAGAGCTTCTAAGCAAAAAAAAAAAAAAAAAAGAGTTCAGAAATCATGCCATTTCTGATTTAGAAAATGAACCAGGTTTATTTGGTAATCTGCCATGACAAACCGACTTCTTTACTCATTGCCCTTTTCTACAGAAAGATCATCTTCACTTAATATAACTTCAACCAAGAAACAATAATTCAAGCATAAAAATCAAGAAAGTCAATCTGTTTAATTGGTGTTCTGATTTGGTTGAATCTTTTTTCTTCATCCTCTCCACCCCAAATCCTAGTAGAACTGAGTGTTTTATTTTGATCAAAGTGTACAGAGAATTGTTTGATCAAATTTAAAAGACTATATTAAAAACAAAAAGAAAGTGAGAAGAGAATTAAATAGATTTCTTAAGTGAGGGTAGGCAGTAAGTGGCTCTTGTATATGACATTTCTGTAGGACTACCGAGTGAACATTTTTCTGAGACAGCAGTGGAACGATTCACGGCTGGCATACAGTGAGTACCCAGATGATTCCCTGGATTTGGATCCATCGATGTTGGATTCGATTTGGAAACCAGATTTGTTCTTTGCCAATGAGAAAGGTGCCAATTTCCATGATGTTACCACTGACAACAAGTTGCTGCGTATTTCCAAAAATGGCAAAGTACTCTACAGTATCAGGTAAGCTGTTGGCTTTATCACCTCTTTTCTCAAGGCCTAGAGATGCTTGATTCTTCAAGACAGGATGTTATGAATATATGACTTTGTTGTTTCTTGTTTATCATTTGAATCTTAAATATATGAATTTCAGAATGTTTCATGGTCTTATAAGTGTGATTCTTCACAAGTTTGTTTATTGACAGGTGATGGTATTATATAAACACCTAAGCAAATGTATTAAAGAAATTATAGTCTTCAGTCTAATTACCATGAACCATAGTTGGAGTAAGACTAGGCTCATCTTCTATTGAGGCTAAACAAGACAGCTCACTTAAAGGGAAAGAATCCAAAGGCAGGTAACTGTCATAGACAACCCCTGCTCCAGTTGTTATGGGTACCACATGAAAACCAAGTTACACATCTGTGATATGTATAGGGGACCTAGGTCCATCTCATGTAATGCTCTTTGATTGGTGGTTCAGTCTCTGTGAGATCCTATGGGCTCAGGGTAAGTGTTCTTGTGGTATCCTTAACATCTCTGGCTCCTTATTCCTTCTTCCCCTCTTCCACAAAATTTCCCTAGCTCTACCTAATGTTTGGCTATGTGTTTCTGCATCTGTTTCCATTAGCTGCTAGGTGAAGCCTCTCAGAGAATAAACTCCTGTCTGAAAATATAGCAGAATATCACTAATAGTTTCAGGGGTTGGCAATCTCACATGGGATGAATCTAAAGTTGGGCCAGTCATTGCTTGGCCATTCCCTCCATTTCTGCTCCATCTTTTCCCCTGCACATCTTGTTGGGAGGACAAATTTTGGGTCAAAGTTTTTTTTAGGGGGGGGATTGGTGTCTTCATTTGTACCACATTTTCTGCATTCATTCTTCAGTTGTTGAGGGACATATAGGTTGCTTCCAGTTTTTGGCTATTATTTACAGAGCTGCTATGAACACTATTTAGTAAGTGTCTCTGTGGAATAGTGGGTATATGCATCTTTTGGGTATATGCCCAGGATTGGTATAGATGGGTCTTAATGTAGAACTGTTCACAATTTTCTGAGAAACCACTAAATTGATTTCCAGAGTGGTTTGCAAATTTTCACTCACAACAGCAATGGAGGAGTGTTCCTCTTTCTCCACATCCTTGCCAGCATGTGCTGTCACTTGAGTTTTTGATCTTAGCCATCCTGACAGGTGTAAGATGGAATCTCAGAATCATTTGATTTGCATTTCCTTGATGATTAAGGATGTTTAAGATTCCTTTAAGTGTTTCTCAGCCATTAGAGATGCCTCTGACAATAATTCTGTCTAGCTTTGTTCCCCATTCTTAAATTGGGTTATTTGGAGTTTTGGTGTCTAATTTCTTGACTGCTTTATATATTTTGGTTATTTGCCCTCTCTTGAATGTAAAGTTGGTGAAGATCTTTTGCCATTCTGTGGGCTGCTGTTTTGTCCTTTTAAAAATTATTTTTTTAAATATTTTATTTATTTTTATTCACATTATATCCTAACTGCAGACCTCCTCCTCCCAGTCCTGACCTTACAAATCCCACCATTGCCCACTCCCCTTCTACTCAAAGAAGGGCAAGTTCCCCCCTTAGGTACTACCCCACCCTGGGGCATCTAGTCCCAGCAGGACTAAGATCATCCACTCCCATTGAGGCCCAATCAGGCAGTTCAGGTAGGGGAAGGGAATCCAATGGCAGGCAAAAGAATCAGAGACAGCCCCTACTCCAATTAGTAGGGAACTCACAGGAAGACCAAGCTGTACATCTCCTATAAATGGAGAGGAGGGCTAGGTCCAGCCCCTACATGCCCTTTGGTTGGTGGTTCAGTCTCTGAGCCCCCATGGTCTCAGGTTAGTTGACTTTGTAGGTCTTTGTCTTGTCTTTGACCGCACTGGCTTGCTCAGTCCTGTTCCCCACTCTTCCACAAGACTCCCCATGCTCCACCTGGTGTTTGGTTGTGGGTCTCTGCATCTGCCTCCATCCTCTGTTGGATGAAATCTCTCAGGAGACATTTATGCTAGGTTCCTGTCTGATCATTGATAGTGTTAGGAGTTGGCTCTCTCAAATAGGATGGGTCTCAAGTTGGGGCAGGCATTGTTTGGCTCTTCCTTCAGTCTCAGCTCCATTTTTATCCTTGTGCATCTTGTAGGTAGGACAAAGTTCAAGTTGAAGGTTTTCAACTTGTGGGTGAGTTGATGTCCCCCTAATTCCACTGGAAGCCTTGCCTGGGTTATAGGAGGTGGCCACTTCAGTCTCTATATCCCCTCTGGTAGGAATCTCAGCTAGGGTTACCCCTATAGACTCCAGGTAGCCTACTCCAATCCAAGTCTCCAGCTGGTCACAGAGATACCCCACATCAAATTTCATTCTCAATCCCAGCCCTCTCCTACTCCTCCCCCAACTCCTGTTCACCATTCTCATATCCCTCTTCACCCCATCTCCAACCCAGTTCCCTCTCTCTATCCACCTCTAATGAGTATTTTGTTTCCCCTTCTGAGTGAAATTCACAAGTCCTCCCTTGGGTCCTCATTATTATCTAGTTTCTTTGGGTCTGTGGATTGCAGCGTGGATATCCTGCACTTTATGACTAATGTCCAACCATAAGTGAGTACTTACTGAATGTGTATTTGTGGGTCTGGGTTATCTCACTCAATATGATTGTTCTCAGGTTCCATCCATTTGCCTTCAAATTTCTTGTCTTTATTTTTTATTTCTTTTAATTCAATAGATGATTTTTTAAAAAATTTATATACAATTCAGCCGTTGTTCCCACTTCTGGTCCCCCCAACAGTTCCTCATCCCTTTCTCCACCCACCCACCCCTCACCTCTGCCTTCAAGAGGATGCTTCCCCACCTGCAGGCCTCCCAGTTCCCTGGGGCCTCAAGTCTCTCAAAGATTAAGCAAATCTTCTCCCACTGAGGCCAGACCAGGCAGTCCTCTGCTAAATATGTGTCAGGGGCCTTGGATCAGCTTGTGTATGCTGTCTAGTTGGTGGCTCGTTGCCTGGAAGCTCCCAGGGGTGCAGGTTAGTTGAGACTGCTGGTCTTCCTATGGGATTACCCTCCTTCTCAGCTCCTTCAGTTCTTCCTCTAATTTCTCCATAGGTCCTGAACTTCAGTCCAATGGTTGGGTGTAATTATCTGCATCTGTCTCAGTCAGCTGCTGAGTAGAGCCTCTAAGAAGTCAGCCATGCTAGGCTCCTGTCTGTAACCACATCATAGCATCAGTAATAGTGTCAGGCATTGGTGTCTTCCTATTAGGTGGATCCCCATTTGAGCTGGTCACTGCTCGGGTCTTTCCATCAGTCTCTTCTCCATCTTCATCCCTGCAGTTCTTCTAGACAGGGGTCTAGAAAGTAACAGGGACCGGGGGGATGAGCGACTCTCGGGACTCAATGGGAGTGACCAGTGGGGAGAGGGAACTTGAAGAATCCATCTCCAATAGATAGAGAGGGTCTCAAGAAGAAGGTGTTACCAACCTACAGTCTTTGTTTTTAATAGCAGAATAATATTTGACTGTGTAGATGTAGCATATTTTCTTTATCCACTCTTCAGTTGAGGGACATCTAGGTTGTTTCTGGCTATTAAGAATAAAGATACTACGAACATAGTTGAGTTTATTGTATAATGGAACATCTTTTGGGTATATGCTCAGAAGTGGTCTTGAGATAAATTTATTTACAATTTTCTGAGAAACTGCCAAATTGATTTCCAGAATATCTGTACAAGTTTGCACTCCCAACAGCAATGGAGGAGTGATCTGTTTGTTTCACATACTTGCCAGCATGAACTGTTGCTAGAGTTTTTGATCTTAGCCATTTTGAACAGTGTATGGTGGAATCTTACAGTAGATTTGATTTGTATTTCCCTGATGATTAAAGATGTTGAACATATTTTTACATGCTTCTCAACCATTCAAGATTTCTCCGTTGAGTATTTTGTTTAGCTCTGTACCCCATTTTTAATTTGGTTATTTGGATTTTTGGGTTTTAATTTCTTGAGTTCTTTATAAATTTTTTATACCAGTCTGCTGTTGGATGTAGTGTTGATGAAGATGTTTTCCTATTCTGTAGGCTGCCAATTTGTCTTACTGATGGTATCCTTAGCTTTGCAAAAGCATTTCAGTTTCATGAGGTCCCATTCATTAATTGTTGATCTTAGTGCCTGAAGTGTTGATTTTCTGTTCAGGAAGTTGTCTTCTTAGTTAATATGTTCTCTGTTTAATGTTGAGGTCTTTGATCCACTTGAACTTGAGTTTTGTACAGGGTGAATAATTCAAATAGAATTTGACATCCAGTTATACCAGCACAATTTGTAGAAGATGCTTTCATTTTTTCATTGTATAGTTTTGACTTCTTTGTCAAAAATCAAGTGCCCATTGGTATATGAGTTTATTTCTGGGTCTTTGATTAAATTCCATTGATCAGCCTGTCGGTTTTGTATCAATACCATGCAGGCATTATTTTTATTACTATTGCTCTGTAGTACACCTTGAAATTGGGGGTGTGATACCTCTAGAAATTCTTTTATCAGATGGGATTGTTTTAGTTTTCCTGTTTTTTGTTTGTTTATTTGTTTGTTTTCCATGTGATATTGAATACTTTTCAATCATGGTCTATAATAAATTGCGCTGGAATTTTGATGGAATTGCATTGAGTCTGTAGATTGCTTTTGGTAAGGTGGTCATTTTCACTATGTTAATCCTACCTCTCCATGAGCAAGGGAAGTCTATCCATCTTCTGATATCTTCTGCAATTTCTTTCTTCAGAGACTTGAAGTACTGGTTGTATAGATTTTTTACTTGCTTTGTTACAGTTACACCAAGATATTTTATATTATTTTTGGCTATTATAAAGGATACTGTTCCCCTAAATTCTTTCTTGCCCTTTAAAGAAGCATACTGATTTTTTGAGTTAGCTTTGTATGTGGCCATGTTGCTGAAAGTATATATAAGCCATAGGCGTTCTCTGGTAGAAGTTTTGGGGTCCTTTATGCATACTATATTATCATCTGCAAAT